TTTCTATTTATAGTAACAGTGACCTTGACCTTTGACCTTTGGACCTGAAAAGCAATCCCAAGCAAGCACTTTTGGTAAGGAAGCACTGCATGAAGTTTGAGTTTGATCGGCATAAGGAAACTCAAGTTATCGCACGAAAACCTCTGTTCGGACGCTGCCGCCGACAAAGCAATACCTATGTGTCACCAGCTTTTCGCAGGCGACACAAAAACGATAAATGTGNTCTTCCACACATTAATCATGTACTGTATGTACATTTCATATTGTAAAACACGAAATGTCGGCCCTTGTTTAATCTCCGTCGATTGGCAGTTAAATTCAACAGTGTTCAAAATCTTTATTAACTTTAATAGAGTATATATCATACAATAAAAAGATGACACAACAACATCAACAGAAGTACTGATCCGTAACTTTAAATTAACTCATTCACCCCTAAAACACATTTGAACTCTTCCAATTCAAAGGTTGGCATAGTTCATTATGAAACTTCAGGGGTGAATGAGTTAAGTCACTATGTTGCCTAGCTGGGGACACTGAAAGCACTGAACCTATCACATAGCACCTTCTACTTCTTGGTGTATAACGATGATATATACATTCCTGAAACATTTTATCAAATCACCCTTTTCAAAATTGAAAACTGAACTTACAACGATTGCATCCCCAACTGCCTGTCAGACTAGCTAGGGCCATCATTATTATGATTTTCACATGATATTTGATAAAGCACCTTGTTTTTATACTCTATAAAGCACTAATTTATGTACACAAATAATACATGGTTAAAGGCTTTGTAATTGTATGATAAATAGAACACAGCAGCGGTTTATCAGGATACTTTTTAGGTCCAATTAAAGGACCCAATCCCAATTGAAAATGTGTTTTTTCCAAATTTGCCCCTTTAAATACAAATATTAATAACTCCTGACGATAAACTGCATTCTCAAAATGCGGCACACGCAGGAAAAATAGAAGGATTACATTGTTATAAGGAAAGGCTTCGGTAAAAAGTAAAATCATTACAGGAACTGTTATCTGAACCCCTATGATAAACCTCTACACAGATATATACAATTAAAACAATCAACACAGTATGGCAGTGTATTTTGAAGTTTCTGCCTTGCAAAGCACCAAATACTGTTTTCCTATACAGAGTATAGCGGCTCTGTTTTAATAGGATTTTATCAGATCTTATTCAACGCTGCCTCTGTATCACTCTCAATACAAAAGGTCAAGAGGACCTGTATTTCGAGATTGCCGTATTAAGGTTCGGACAGTTAAACACTTGGCCATCACTTCACCGGTCACCGATTCAGTACCTGAGTCCTCGCCACCGTCCTGTCGGCTAAGGAGGGCCAGCCTCTCCGGCGGTATGTAGTCATCTTCCTGTTCCTCTACGAAGGGCGACAGATGGGGGGGTAACACAGCACCGATGAAGTAGTCCTCGACTGGCAGCACTGTCTTGGTATTCACACAGTCGTAGACCCACTGTGGTTGGACATAGTACCTACAAGCAAAATAAAAAAAGAATCCTATATTGCACGATTTTGAAATAAATCTTGTACTGAGATTTACCTGGTATTGCCTTTTAAAAAAAATAGCTATTTCCTCAAGAAGTAGATTTTTTTTTTTCAAATATTATGCATATGATTATTTCCAAATGAAAGCTAGAAAGCTAAGCAAGATATAAATGCTCCAGCTTCAATACAAATCAGGATCAGTTTTGACAAATAACCATAGATTTTGTTTGTTTGTGTTTTACGTCCTATAACAGCTATGGTCATTTAAGGACGTGTCCGGTTTTGATGTTGGAGGAAAGCCGCAGTTCCCAGAGAAAAAACCAACCCAACGGCCAGTACCTAGCAACTGCCCCATGTAGGTCTCAAACCCATGACCCAGTGGTGGAGGGCTAGTGGTAGCAGAATGTTGGACGCCTTAACCACTTGGCCACCGTGGCCCCTTACAATTACCATAGAGTCACAGTGACGTTGACCGTGACATTTGGTTCTCGATATATGTACACATCTAAAGTATTCCCATACTGGAGTTATGTGTAAAGATTGGTCAAATTCTGTTTATAATAAATGTTTTGAGAAGTTGCTAAGATGGTTGTCACATAATTGGCCGACACATTTTTATGAATAGTAACTGTGGTCTTGGCTTAAGCTTTGAAACCCTAAAACATGAACTCATTAAAGCCATCTATCGTACTTGACCTTCGTATAAAGTTTGATAAAAATCTGTTAAAGAAATGAAGTTGCTAGAGTGATGACAATGAATTGGAATGGGATGTGACACAACAGCATGGAATATACATAGGTTAACCCCATCCTCACCTCTCCATATAATGGCAAGGGCAAAATTAGGGCCGGTAAGACTGTCTGAAAATTACTAAAAATATATCTCTATCATATCAATGTTCATAGTTCCAATGGAACCTATTAACTATAAATTGCTTATAGAAAAGAAATTTGTTAAAGTCTCAAATTGTGACAGAATATTCACCTGATTTTTTTGATACAGAATCAATATTTAAAGAGCAGACAAACAGAAGATCACAAATTTATATTTGTCTTGGATAGCTTTAGTAAGATGAAATAAAAGAAAATGAAGCAGTTCTATTAATGATTGAATAACTTTATCAAAATATTGTTATTGTGATACAAACTTCATTTACACATTAATGAACTATCATGGTTTGTTCTGCACTAGTCTCCAAAAGAAAAATAAATGACAGCTGACAGACCATTGGAAATGCTCACTTGTCCATTCCAGCCAAATATTAAAACCAGAACTTAATAACACGTGGGAGACATACCTGGTCAGATACTGTGTAGCCATGGCTGGTCTGTCCACTATTTGATGGGTGATGGTCTCATCGGACTCCAGAAATGTAGCACCAATGGCCTGGGTTTTACTCCAGGACACTTCACCTCCAAAGGCCCTATACACACAATACACTGTAACATTAGCTTTCTCCTCCAAAGGCCCTATACACACAATACACTGTAATATTAGCTTTCACCTCCAAAGGCCCTATACAAACAATACATTGTAACATTAGCTTTCACCTCCAAAGGCCCTATACACACAATACATTGTAACATTAGCTTTCACCTCCAAAGGCCCTATACACACAATACACTGTAACATTAGCTTTCACCTCCAAAGGCCCTATACACACAATACACTGTAACATTAGCTTTCACCTCCAAAGGCCCTATACACACAATACACTGTAACATTAGCTTTCACCTCCAAAGGCCCTATACACACAATACACTGTAACATTAGCTTTCACCTCCAAAGGCCCTATACACACAATACACTGTAACATTAGCTTTCACCTCCAAAGGCCCTATACACACAATACACTGTAACATTAGCTTTCACCTCCAAAGGCCCTATACACACAATACACTGTAACATTAGCTTTCACCTCCAAAGGCCCTATACACACAATACACTGTAACATTAGCTTTCACCTCCAAAGGCCCTATACACACAATACACTGTAACATTAGCTTTCACCTCCAAAGGCCCTATACACACAATACACTGTAACATTAGCTTTCACCTCCAAAGGCCCTATACACACAATACACTGTAACATTAGCTTTCACCTCCAAAGGCCCTATACACACAATACACTGTAACATTAGCTTTCACCTCCAAAGGCCCTATACACACAATACACTGTAACATTAGCTTTCACCTCCAAAGGCCCTATACACACAATACACTGTAACATTAGCTTTCACCTCCAAAGGCCCTATACACACAATACACTGTAACATTAGCTTTCACCTCCAAAGGCCCTATACACACAATACACTGTAACATTAGCTTTCACCTCCAAAGGCCCTATACACACAATACACTGTAACATTAGCTTTCACCTCCAAAGGCCCTATACACACAATACACTGTAACATTAGCTTTCACCTCCAAAGGCCCTATACACACAATACACTGTAACATTAGCTTTCACCTCCAAAGGCCCTATACACACAATACACTGTAACATTAGCTTTCACCTCCAAAGGCCCTATACACACAATACACTGTAACATTAGCTTTCACCTCCAAAGGCCCTATACACACAATACACTGTAACATTAGCTTTCACCTCCAAAGGCCCTATACACACAATACACTGTAACATTAGCTTTCACCTCCAAAGGCCCTATACACACAATACACTGTAACATTAGCTTTCACCTCCAAAGGCCCTATACACACAATACACTGTAACATTAGCTTTCACCTCCAAAGGCCCTATACACACAATACACTGTAACATTAGCTTTCACCTCCAAAGGCCCTATACACACAATACACTGTAACATTAGCTTTCACCTCCAAAGGCCCTATACACACAATACACTGTAACATTAGCTTTCACCTCCAAAGGCCCTATACACACAATACACTGTAACATTAGCTTTCACCTCCAAAGGCCCTATACACACAATACACTGTAACATTAGCTTTCACCTCCAAAGGCCCTATACACACAATACACTGTAACATTAGCTTTCACCTCCAAAGGCCCTATACACACAATACACTGTAACATTAGCTTTCACCTCCAAAGGCCCTATACACACAATACACTGTAACATTAGCTTTCTCCTCCAAAGGCCCTATACACACAATACACTGTAACATTAGCTTTCTCCTCCAAAGGCCCTATACACACAATACACTGTAACATTAGCTTTCTCCTCCAAAGGCCCTATACACACAATACACTGTAACATAAGCTTTCTCCTCCAAAGGCCCTATACACACAATACACTGTAACATAAGCTTTCTCCTCCAAAGGCCCTATATACACAATACACTGTAACATTAGCTTTCTCCTCCAAAGGCCCTATACACACACTACACTGTAACATCATCAAGCTTCAACATGTACCAGACACCCTGATCTCCCATTGCATCTTCTTAGTAATTTTTATATTTTGTACACAAATTAAAAAAAATATATATGCAGATCTAACATTCATATTAAATGATATTTTGTTTCTATAAGAGAAAAAAAGAAAGCATAACATAGTTATTATATGTTTCTAGTTATATTTGTTGACTCATTCACCCTGAAATTTCATAATGAACTATTCCAACCTTTGAATTGGAAGAGTTCAAAGTGTTTTTAGGGGTGACTGAGTTAAGTTTGTATTGTCTAACAAAGTTTGTTTGTTTGGGGTTTAACCCTTTCACCACTGTAGACCATAATGGAGTCATCCATATCAATGCATGGTACAGTCTACAAAAGTTACCTAGGGGTGAAAGGGTTAATATCCTTTCAACAGCCAGTGTCATATGAGGAGGGAAGCCTTGAGACACACTGTCGGAAAGAAAAAGCAGATGGGAAAAGAAAGAAAAGTAACTCACATTATTAAAAGCTATAAAGAAAAGTTTATGAATATACTTTCATGTTTATTACCATAATTGTTTAGACTAAATACCTCTCTTATAAATGACTTATCTATATTTTTCTACAAAAACATACCTGATGACAAATACAAGGCTTTCTCTTGGAGTTTCCCGATTCAGGAAGAATTTTAGGCCTTTGAAAAGGGAGAGAAATTTCTTGTGCTTTTCTGCTTCCACTCGAGCCTGCTCAATCAGATCTGGATTTTCTGACTAAAAAAATAGTAAACGAAGCTCATATTACTGTAAACAACAAACAATTTACCTATACATGTAAAACAACAATGCACACTAAACGTCTGTAATAAGAGGAACATTAAGAGATAGCTCTGAGGTGTTTTGAGATTGAGGCAGTGTATTATGATTTTGTCACAAAATGTGTTTTACTGATGATGCAGACAGAGGCATCTTTATTAGGTGATTATTGTAACCCTTTCAAATTATGTTCAAGTACTGGAAGCATATTTTGTCATAAATAAGTAATGTGTAAAGAATAGCATGAATGAAGTTCTGAAGAAAAACAAGAGTTCAGTGTAAAAATGACATCAATTAAAACAGATTTTTTTTTTTTTTTTTTTAATTGTTAGATCAATTTTGTGAAATTTTTAAGGATTTATTATGATTAAAACTCCAAATAAAGAACATCATTATATTAATAAATGCTAGTGAAACCTGACTACACAAAAGTAACAGTCTGATCTCTTCAAATGTCTTAATAATGATAAAATTTGGCAATACCTGACAAAAATGTTAAATTCAATTTGTTGGTTTTTCAACAAGGGAGACAACTTACATCTACAAGGGGGAAGTCATCAATCTCTGCATCATCTTCACCTCCACCAGCATCTATTGACATCAAGCTCTGCGACAGGGAGGATAGTTTCTAGAAAAATAAAACAAGACTTTATAATTTTTAGCCCTAGCCATATAGCCAGCTGCAGAGTATACGTAGTGTCAGAAAAGTTCAAAATATTTTCAAATCAGTCCTTGTTTAAAGTGTGAAATTCTTTAGATCAATGTATAGATATAACTTATTATAATGTGGCAGCCCTGACCATAATATTGGTTAAAACGTTTTATTTTATTATACCTCTAGCGAAAATCCTGTAGTCTGATTGGTCGAGACAAATTATTCATTACACACTGTCACATTTGCTTTAACAAAGAGTCAATGGAAGGGTGCTTCCTAATGCCCTAGCAACAAGCGACAGTGTGTATGACTGTGCAAAACTGTGAATGCGCAAAGAAGATGCACACACAGTTCGTTTCAGCCGTAAAGTTTTTGCATTGCGATTCATTGTACATGGAGGTCTTCAGCACTCCATGTCGCTACTGTGTAACACTCATCAGTGATTGGTACGATGTAACATTGAGATTAGTGAAAGTTGAACATTTTGTTCATTAATGACTTTCGGTATAATGAAATAAATACTCCAGAGAAGAGATATACTTGACTATAAGAACAACTGTTTCAAGATGGAAGCCATTCATACATTCTATTTTTGACAATTTAAATAAAAATAAATGCATGAAATGTTCAGACATATGGGCTGTCAGTGTGTGATAAGGTGGAAATATGTACCCATTGTCCTATTAGTTATAGTTGAAAGGATGCATACATCCAGCTGTTAATGAATTATAAAATTGTTCCAAACGAGCAGAAGTTTTGTTAGGACTGGTCCTGATGGCAGACATATATGTATATTATTGGGACTTGACCTTACCTCTTCCAGTCTCTCCTTAGGAGTCATTTCTTCATCAAAGTCATTCTCTGTAAAACCGTCTTCAAGCTTTGAAACAGAATTTTATAGTAGCACATTGAAAAAAGGTTTGTTAGCATCTGTCATTGCAAATAATACTGAAAGTGATAGATATTTCATGTACTCTGAAAGTAGAACCCTTTTCCTGGTTTAATTATGTCTTTCATGAGAAATCATGTTTGAAAGGTTATAACAATTATAGATGATATATGGAGACGATTCCCATATGTAGTTGTACAATGTATTATTGTATTTATATAGGTACTTTATACCAGAATATCTAATGTACCATAGTGAAAACATTTGTGAAAATGTTATGTCTTGTTTTGTCAATAAAACCTTTTTTTAACACAATTTACATACATTTTGTCAATTTTTACTTTTTGCTATACAGGTATATGAGGTAAGTAGATTCAGTAGATGTTTTACAGTGAGGTGGTTTTAGCGTAGGCTCAGTTATATTACATTATGTATTGTGTATTTAACCGGCAATAAGACCAAGCCTGTTAATAAGACCATCCACATATCTATGGCAGTTCAGTAGAAATGCCAGCAAATACTAGCTATCTTATGCAACAACAACGTGCTCCAACTTTACAAACTCAAACAAACTTTGAGTTAGAGATTCTCAAACCCTGTAGCATTATTGCTGGATAATACAGCATATACCCACTGTGGGAAGATTCAGTTGTATTATAATACAAATTCCATTTTACCTTTGGAGGGTAGTGTAGATTTAAAGTGTAGAAAAGCTTAAAGTTGATGAAGCCCATCATTGTGGTGTAGAATTCGACGAAGGTCTGCATTATCTTGAAATCCACTTCAGTAGGATTCTGTTTTAACATATTTCAGCAGGCACATGTCATATAGCAATAATAAATTAGCAAAGCAGCCATCAAACTGCATAATCTTAGACAAGGAAATGCTATAGGGAATCAGATTATTGCCCCTGTATCACAAACAGGCCCAGAAGTGTACAATTTCATTAGCCCAACGCCTAGGTTTAGATTATCTGGTAAGGCTAGTGTAAATGTTAAATAATTGTGATGAAAATATAGGTTGGGATTGTATTATTTATCAAAACATCTCTAAATATGAAACTGAACACTCTTTCACAAACCTTTGAAACTTTAAAAATGTTCTCAATTTCATCATTCTAAAATTTTACATTTTAATTTTCCTTCTTAATTTATTTGAGCCAGATTTTCTCTGATACACTCATACTTTCAAGTTAAGATGATTTCTTTCATGGAATGAGTTAAGTGTAAATTTATGTCATTCAGGAAATCAGAATTCAGACCTGAATTGGGATTTCTTTCATGAAATAAGAAAGATTTTACTATTTCAAATATTTGAGGAAAGATAAATCTCATTTTTGAAAATTTGAAAACATTCTTGATTTTTATTTTATTTTGGAGCCTCAGGCAATATAAATGCTGGTGCAATATAGAATGATAATCACAAAACTCCTTTTAAAAGAAAACAATGGAGCAGTTCTGTTGTTAGATTGTGATTGTAAGACACAACTGTCTGTGTAACTTACCTCGAAGCCTAACTTGTGAGGCTGCACCCATGTGATGGTTTCGTTTTGTATCTCTGCCTGGTAGTATATCCCCTTGATCGAGACAAAAACCTGTAACATTAAAAATAATTTTAAACAATGGCTACATAGCTGTTGGACAAACATTAGAGTACAATTGGTGTATATTGGTGTTATTTGGTACACCGACATCATGACGTTATCATTTAATTCTGACCTTGAAAGCAAGGATGCAGAGGTATAGACAGCTAGGTAGACAACAGCATTCACATTGTAGGGACACTAAATATAGATAACACACCAAGCTGCTGATGCTGTTTTAAGCATGACTGTACATACCTGTATATAAAAAATATTATACAAGATACATTGAGTAGTTCCCTTCATAGTATTTTGTCCCTAAAGTACAATTTCTTTCAGTCCTAACGTACAACTCCTTTCAATCCTAAAGTACAATTCCTTTCATTTCTCAAGTAAAATTCCTTTCATTCCTTAAGTACAATTCCTTATCTAAATTATGTGTGACAAGGAATTTGCTGATTTGAAATAAACTTCCAATAAAGATATAAGATATAAGATATTTTGTGTAATAAGGAACCCCGTACCAAAATCTGCAAGTACGCATTAGAAACAGTTTCAAAACAATAACAGCTCACAGCTTTGTCAAATTATTTATGAAAAGAAATTTTAGCCTGTGGGACTTTTATGAAACTATAATAAATATAAAATAAATAATGTAAAATCAAAAACAGTGTTCTGAGTATCAACATTCAGGAGAAATAGACTGGGATTTGAACACTGGACTTTAAACTGTTATACAAGCGCTCAAACAGGCTGAGATACCTGGAAAACAGAAGTGTCCTAGTCAAACTGTGCTACAGACATAGAAATCGAAATTAAGGGGAGATCACTGTATATATATATATATATACGAAAAACCACAGAGCACGGGGACAGGGATCCCAGTGCTTTGTTCAATTAAAAAAAACCCCATTTCATTAAAAATATCTCTGCCAAAGGAACTCTATCCCCACAACTTTCGATTATAAAGCAGAGAGCTTTACTGCACTGGATAAAATATTGGTTATTGAGAAGTAGAAGAAATGCTCAAATTAAACAAAAATCATACTGTTTCATACTAATTTCTGAACTGATTATTCTTTCATTTCATAACTTACCTTCCGCAATGACTTTGAGGAGATAACATAGTGCAAGAATTCCACTGAAATCAAGAAAATATATATTGATTATTAGAGAATTTTGCACCTTTAAAGTTCATTTTCAAACTAGTATGTTGTTTACATGCATGCATGTACACAACTAATGGCTGAAACATTTATTTAACAGTTTGAAGCAAGCTCTAAACTTTTTATTTGACTTGAAATTGCTAAATTCAGTGGCCAACTGAAAGCCTAGACTAGATCAGAACATGAGAAAATGAAATAGATTACTCTGAATGTGAATATTATTCTGTTTATTCAAAAACTTAGGTAATCATTGGACATCTCTAACACTTACAAGTGAGCCTTTAACACGGAAAGTTGACCGGGGTGATTCATGTCCTTAAATGACCTTGGCTGTTAATAGGATATTTAAGCAGCGTAACCCAAAGTCTATGGTATTTTGGTTTGGGTTTATTCGGTTCAACGTCCTAATAACAGCTCAGGTCATTTAAGGATGTGCCTCCATGTATGTGTGTCCCGGAGACAGGGTACTAAAGTATGTTTATGGACTTGACTCCTTGTGATAGCATGCATGGATCTGATGCTCAATCTACAGTCCAAATAATACTTAAGGCACCATGGCTCTGTTGAAGAAGCAGTTTGCAGGTTAACACACTTCACCCAACTGAGTAACTTTAAAAGGGGTCAAAATCAAGAAACGTGATAGCCTTTTCCTCCAGAAAACTACTAGTGCTTTACATCCTAGTAACAAGACATTTAAGGATGTGCCAGGTTCTGGTTTTGAGGGCAAACTGAAGTGCATGGAGCAAAACCACTGACATGCGGTCAGTACCTGGCGACTGCTTCACATAAGCCTTAAACCTGTGACTCAGTGGTGGAGGGCTTTAGTGATCATAGATGTCAGACACCTTAACCACCCGGTCACCACGACACAGTGGTAGAGGGCTATAGTGATCATAGATGTCAGACACCTTAACCACCCGGCCACCACGACACATTGGTGGGGGGCTATAGTGGTCATAGATGTCAGACACCTTAACCACCCGGCCACCACGACACAGTGGTGGAGGGCTATAGTGATCATAGATGTCAGACACCTTAACCACCCGGCCACCACGACACAGTGGTGGAGGGCTATAGTGATCATAGATGTCAGACACCTTAACCACCCGGCCACCACGACACAGTGGTGGAGGGCTATAGTGATCATAGATGTCAGACACCCTAACCACCCGGCCACCATGACACAGTGGTGGAGGGCTATAGTGATCATAGATGTCAGACACCTTAACCACTCGGCCCCGGAAGGAAGACGGACACCATCACATAAAGACGTTGGCATACAGCCAACAGAAGTTTGTGTGACCTTTGGCTATAACTAGTTGAGCTCATACCAAAGCATTCAATTATACAAGCTACACATACATATTTAATTCACTCATATAGTATAAATTAATTACACATTTATTTTCATGTGAATTCATCTTAAGCATCAATTTGAAATATAAGCATCGCTCGAACAATTACTTAACATAATGTCATACATGCTGATTGAAACATGAGCTAAATTTGATGCAAATAAAAAAATCATCATATGAAATGAAATGTACATTAAATATGCGTCATCTATGGTATATTTTCAAAATTGTATACCAGGACAAGGCATTAGTTTTCTGCTTTGAATGTATCTAATTATAAAAAAAATATCAATGCAATTAAAGATTTTTGTAAACAGAACTGAGAATTCTGGACACCAGTGCTCAGAAAGTGATTAATGTTTAGTCTTCGAGCTAGTACTTTTTCTTCCAGAGATCATTGAGATAATGAAGCATCTGATCCAAAGTACCGCTATAGTTTTAGTTACCTGTGAGCTTCCGTGAGAGGTAGATGTATTCTGAGAATGTTTTGCTTGTTTTGGGAAACGTAGAGAAAAGAAAGCACATGCTTAGACAATCTTCCAAGTCCCGGATTGCATCAGAGAAGGAAGGGTATCTGTATAAACATCAACAGTTAACAATGGTTATAAGGATTGTAACAATACATCAAATTATCACAGTTACAATAGGTTTTACCTCAATAACAATGAACCGCTTTTTCCTATATATGCATATTGTACATGTAGTTTGCAGGCCTTTTCAAGGTTGTTCCTATATATGCATACTGTACATGTAGTTTGTGCAGGCCTTTTCAAGGCGTTAAAACATTTCAAAATCATCCACAGTCCATATACTTGCCAACATTTTGAAATTTTCACAGAGGAAATTCTACATGCCCAAATTTATTAACACTTTAGAATGAAATCTTTCCAGTTATTATTTCAGATGAACGCATAGGATATAGTTATAGGAAGTTTCCTGAATGAAAATTGTCAATTTTAGGGTCATAAATTTGGGAGTCTCTCTCAAAATAGGGAGGGTTGGCAAGTATACTAGTCACGCTGCAAAAAAACCCCAACATAAACACATATCATGACTATTGCCACAGCAGGTTAGTTTTTTCTGCTTTATAATCAAGAGGACTGGGGATTGAAACTTCTTAGCAGAGTTTATACCTACCCTTTTCTGACAATATGATCTTTGAACCACCTACCTTTGTCTGACAATGTGATCTTACAACCTTCTACCTTTGTCTGACAATGTAATCTTACAACCACCTACCTTTGTCTGACAATGTGATCATACAACCACCTACCTTTGTCTGACAATGTGATCTTACAACCACCTACCTTTGTCTGACAATGTGATCTTACAACCACCTAACTTTATCTGACAATGTGATCTTACAACCACCTACCTTTGTCTGACAATGTGATCTTACAACCACCTACCTTTGTCTGACAATATGATCTTACAACCATTTACCTTTGTCTGACAATATGGTCCTACATCAACCTACCTTTCTCTGACATTGTGATCTTACAACCACCTACCTTGGTCTGACAATATGATCTTACAACCACCTACCTTGGTCTGACAATATGATCTTACATCCACCTACCTTTGTCTAACAATGTGATCTTACAACCATCTACCTTTATCTAACAATATGATCTTACAACCATCTACCTTTGTCTGACAATGTGATCTTACAACCACCTACCTTTTTCTGACAATGTGATCTTACAACCACCTACCTTTTTGTCTGACAATTTGATTTTACAACCACCTACCTTTTTGTCTGACAATGTGATCTTACAACCACCTACCTTTGTCTGACAATGTGATCTTACAACCACCTACCTTTGTCTGACAATGTGATCTTACAACCACCTACCTTTGTCTGACAATGTGATCTTACAACCACCTACCTTTGTCTGACAATGTGATCTTACAACCACCTACCTTTGTCTGACAATGTGATCTTACAACCACCTACCTTTGTCTGACAATGTGGTTAAGACTGTACTTGGGTTTGTTTCCTCTAATACGTTGAACTGCATCTTTGTTGTTCTTCTCTAAAGCCTTTTTCAGACGGCGCACAAAATGCTGTAAAATATCACATTGATTTGTATTACATGACATCTCCAAAGGCTGCATGGTCAATATGGCATCAGACAGAAACATCTGGACGTAAACAACCTGCATGCTACTTGAACTTTACCTAGTATGTGACATCAATGTTGTCTGGTATCCCACTTCAATTTTGTATAACAGGCTACTTTAAAATTGTCCAGTATACCACATTTAAGTTTGTCTTACATATGCTACAATGTACGTTATCTTTCACTTTGTCTATTATGTTATTTTATCATTTTGTAGCAAGCTTTACATTTGTCTAGAATTTTGTCACCTTCAGTAGTCACTATTTTGGAGATAAATTGTCCATTTTTGAAACCAGCAAAATTACTTCTATCTCGATTTTCACTGAACTTGATTTATTTGTTACGAAGAACAGCTTAAACTGACATTTTGCAGCATTATTTTGACAAATAGACATAATAGTAAATTACTTTTATACATTTTTAAGATTTTGTCACAGTTTCTCCCCTAATAAGAATCATCACAGATAGTGAAAAGGGTGGAAGTTAAACCCTACAAATATAAAAACAAAATGTTTACCTTGGTTTCCCTGAATTTTCTGATGATGGGTTCATGTGCTAGGAACTGGATGTCTTTGACAAAGTAGTAGGTCTTGGGGGCTGTGTTACCTCTTCCTACCTTTTTCTTGTGCTTTGGTTCATGTGGATAAATGCCTTTCAATATGCAAAGGCGTCTGAAAAAGCAAAGAATGATATATTTACTTCTTCAGTGTTTTGTATATCCTTGCAACAGCTATGGTACAATATCATAATAATAACGATGCAACATTTTATTCTTGAACTTTTGACTTTACAAAATTAGGTACTCTGTTAGCCAAGGTACTCTAAAGTGCTAAATAGTACATGAGTAAGAATTGTTTATGGAGTTACAGAAGAATATGTAAATATATATATACATCTTCACAATATGATTAAGTATATAATTGGTTAATCCCCGTGGGTACTTGAAAGAAACATGTAAATCCACTAATTGGTGAAATTCCCTGAAATGTTACTAATAACCTATGATGGCAGCCAATACCGTCAAATATCATTGTGACAAGGGGCGATATAGCTAACTAGGGTGACCAAAATATATATAAACAAGAAGCACATATATGCATAGGGCCTGTATCGCTCACCTGGATATCTAAGCAATCACGGCAAAATATTCTCCAAATGAGATCTAAGGGAATATGCCAGACCCCAAGGCCAATCCTTGTAGCATATATATCTGTATTCAATTTTTCATGCCCAGCAATTTTATGTATGGTTATGGGGTGGGGATCTCAACTGTTTACAAGCTGTGACTCAGACACTTCGTCCCTACGGTTGTGGCCAGACCCCAGGATCAATTCTAATATCATGACTGCATTTGTCTCTTTTTGCCCAGCATTTGTATATATAGTTTTGGGGTGGGGATCTCAACCGTTTCAAAGTTATGACCCAGGGGTTAAGTCTGCAAGGGTGGGGCAAACTCTGGGGTCGATTATAATATCATGACTGCATTCGTCTCTTTATGCCCAACAATTGTATATATAGTTTTGGGGTGGGGATCTTAACCATTTCGAAGTTATGACCCAGGGGTTAAGTCTCCAAGGTTGGGGCAGTCCCCAAGGTCATCCTGGAAGCATATGTGCGTTGATCTCTTTATACTCAACAATTGTCTATATGGTTATAGGGTGGGGAAGCTGTGACTAAGAAACAAGGTCCCTAGGGGTTTGGTCAGACCCCAGAGTCTATTCTAACATTGTGACTGCATTCGTCTCTTTATGCCCAGCTTTTGTATATATAGTTTTGGGGTGGGGATCTTAACAGTTTTAAAGTTATGGCCCAAGGACTATGTTTCCAAGGGTGGGGCCAGACCCTAGGGCCATCCTGGAAGCAAATGTGCATTCTTCTCTTTATACTCAGCAATTGTATATGTGGTTATATGGTGGGGATCTCAACCATTTCCAGGCAATAAACTTTTTTTGGCCCCACCCCTTAGCCCGGGGGGTCAGCCCCACCATTTGTACAATTTTGAATCCCTGCCTCCAATGAATGCTTCCGACCAAATATGATCGATATCCATGTCATAGTTCTACAGAAGTCGTTTATAGCAATATAGCCAAATTGCCCCTTTTTGGCCCCGCCCTCAGCCCCACCATTTGCACAATTTTGAATCCCCACCACCTAGGGATGCTTCCAGTCTAATATGGTTGATATCCATCACTTAGTTCCAGAGAATTAGTTGCTTAAAGCAATATAACCAAATAACCCTTTTTGGCCCCGCCCATCAGCCCCCTGGGGGGTCAGCCCCACCATTTGTACAATTTTGAATCCCTGCATCCCATGAATGCTTTTGATTAAATATGATTGATATCCATCTCTTAGTTCCAGAGAAGAAGTCGCTTAAAGCAATATAGCCAAATTGCCCCCTTTTTGCCCTGCCCCTCAGCCCCCTGGGGGGGGGGTCAGCCCCACCATCTGTACAATTTAGAATCCCCACCACCTAGGGATGCTTCCAGTCAAATTTAGTTAAATTCCAATCAGTGGTTAAGAAGAAGAAGTCGTTTAAAGAAATTGTTGACGGACGGACGCCACGGTGTGGCATAATATAAGCTCACCTTGGTCCTTCGGACCCGGTAAGCTAAATACTATAGACATACATGTACCAAGACTAAAGTTTTTGCATAGCAAATAGGCAAGATTTTTTTTTTGCCAAAACAAATTGGGCAACAGGTCAGTTAATAAGCCTCCTTTTATATCCCTTAGACAATGGTACAAAGGAAAGCCTTGTAGGGGTAAAAAATCATCAAAACAATTGGTCTTTTCTAATGTCCCAGAACATGCAAGAGATATCAAATGTTCATGTTAATTATTCAAATTTTAAATCATGATTACAAATCAGACTTTTAATTCCTTTTTATGATTAGAAAATCAGGGATTCAGTATTTATTATTTTCAGCAATCACAAACTTTTCCCCTCCAAAGATGAGTGTCAGAGAAGCAAATAACAGGTCCTGTCATGCATACTTGCCAGAACTCTCCCCATTTTGGCGGGAGACTGCCGATTTTGGACCCTAAAATTGAGCATTTTCAATCAGTGAATTTGCAAAACTGTTCCTATATTCTAACATCTAATGATTTCATCTGAAAGAACAGCTAACAAGATGCAATTTAAAAGTGTTGTTTATCCCCTTGGGTGTACTTACACATCTTTTATTTATAGTTTTAATTCTGAGCACACATAATCTCCAGTCCCCCATGGAAATTTCAAAAAGTTGGCAAGCAAGTATGCAGGCTAGCTGTGTGTGATCCCTGGTAGAGATATTTAAAAAACAAAAGACATCTGCTAACTCAGGTGTAGTTGTCAAGGCTCACCCTGGACCTAAAAAATCAGTAGCCAAAAAAGGAGCCATGTTTGAATTTTTTAGTAGCCAATTTCTTTTAAACAATGGCCATACTTTCTCGGCCTCCAACCGTTACGGTAGGCCCTCCGTTAAAAAATATATATTTAATATTTTTTGAAGTGCAATACTATTCAATATGATGTTAAATTAAGGAGTACTCTGTTAATTTTGTTTGTTTGTTATACATCATGTTTATAATTGAATTCATAATGTGATATTTTTTTAATCCTTTCAGATTATATGGCTGTAATTTTAAGAAAATATTAATATTAAAATGCCGAAAATTTTTCACCAGAACTTTTTTTTTTTTTTTCAAAAGAGACTTTTTCAGACTTTATCTCATTTCTTAACACAGGAATTGTGAAAAAATCTAGGCAAAAAATTTCAATTTTAAGATATTATTCGCCTTTAATTATGTGCCTTCAATCAAAAAATAAAACTAATAAATCCAAATAAAAAGTAGCCTCAGTGATGCAATATTGATAATTATTTTCCGTTATTCATGTTTTATGTAAAAAAATATAAATATATTTAAAAAGATCACACATTTCAAATGTAAATGGCAGTAGAACACATTTGAAAGGAAAAGGACGAATTTATAACGGTATTGACCAACCCTTCGAAATAAATCGGGAGCACAACACTTCGCGCAACTTGGCCATTCCTGTGCACGTGTCGTCGATTGGCACCTGTTACAAGCGACCGTCGAAGTAATTCTGAACGGTTTGCTGTTCTAAAAACCGCATAACTGCGATGCTAAATAACTTTCTCGATCACGTCTAACCACAAAGGTACACAGTCAGATACGATATAGGGCCTATCGTTTTTAGTGATCTGAAAGGCCGAAAATCGGCACTTCGACATTGTGTTTCAAGGCGATACTTATACTTTCTATTCAAGCATATCGGACGTATTTATGCTTCTTACGGTACTGGAAAAGGTAAATGAATACCATGTACACTAATTTAAATATATACTGAACCTATAAATTTGTTGGATGCAGTGTTTGAACAAGTTTATTAGATCGACTTACGGAGCTGTCAAATGTATGTGTGCGAGACCACCTATGTGTGACTTGCTTATTAGACTGTTTTCTGAACGTAAATGGGTCATCCAGTTAACTTGACCCCACTGTCCATTATTGTACAAGAATTATAACACCTTTTGCCACCTGAAGCTTGATAATTGACTTTACAACTTTTACAAATGCATTAATTAACTCGCAGTCATACAACGCGCGCTGATCTGTGACGGCCCTGATTTTGTTTACGCAATCAGTGTCAGCCACAATACACATGTGAACTCTAGGAGACGAATCGTTTTCTGGAACAAAGATACAGAGTTCCACCATTTTTATAACCTTAGTAGACAATTTAGTAGCCACATCATATTTTTAGTAGCCAATTAAAAAATAAAAGTAGCCAATGGCTACTTTGGCTACCGACAGCGTGAACCCTGGTAGTGACAATTACCTGAAATCTGCCAAACTGAGTTGAAGCTTCTTGATGGCCCGGTTTCTGGACATAAAAGCAGTGGCCTCCCCACGTTCCAACTGCAAGGACACCATATATTATGAATGACAACAGTTCACATACATTTTATACACAGTCAATGCACATTTTTATAATTTACGTTTATTGAACATCACACAAAGTATCATATTAGAATGAGCTGTAGTCCTCTGTATTTTTTTCCAAATGGGTAGAGGTATTGGGGCGAAGTTTAGCTAGCTGGAATAAGATTATATATAATTCACGCCTAATATGAGAGGGGCAGAGGAGGCCGGGTATTAGTATTTGTACTAGTGTTTTAGCCTGATATTAGGACAGTGGTGAAGACAATTTCATTTTCAAGTACAATGTAATATATATATCGCAGGAGTCTGACGTTTAATCAACATAAGTATAATAATCTTGTATATAAAAAAATAACCCTATAGTATGAGGGGTATTTTATACAGAGTGTTATACTTATTTTGATTTTACGTCAGACTCCTGCGATATATATAGTTTTACAACAACAAAAATGACGTAAAGCACTGATCACTGATTTTTATCTTATGTGTTATACATTAAATGTATTATGTTTCAATTTCAATTTTTCACCACCTGTAAATATGTGTTATAACTTAAACTTTATCTTATCAGAGGCGGATCCAGAGTTATATGTATGTAATCAATATGTTTGAATATTGAATACATACTGTTTTAAACTAACAAAAAGGACAAGGGATGGGGTTGGGCGTTAATTAGTCCGAATTATTCTGACGTTTTATCGTCGCATATTTCCCGCATATTATAGAGGGCCGGAGTTCAGAATAATTCGGACTAGGCGTTAATTAATCACTGTGGAACACTGAGCTTTAGGAAATCTACCAACACAAAGTCATACACAATGCTGCTTTATCTGTTTGTAGGAATCTAAACTGTATTTGGCTTAATTGGCCCAAGGTAATATCGGCCAGGCCGTATTTACCCAAGTGAAATCAGCCCTACTATGTATCTATATGTTAAATATATGGGATGGGTCAAAGAAGTGGGATATATACATTTATAAGTACAATTATATTTAAATAAATATATAAAAGGGTTTATTGAATTACGTTCTGGTGTTGTTGTTTTGTTTTTATTGCCTTACACAAACAATGATGTTCGCTCATAATTAACTCTTGAGTACCTCATCATCAAGAAAATGCAGAAAGGAATTTATTAATTTAATTATATATGTTCAAAGGTTGATATACAAATGAAACCAAAAGAAAGGGGTTATTATAACATTCATGTATATTCTATGTCAACTTCGCGAGCCAAGGCTGTTCAATACGATACTCTCCTATTCATAATAGGAGAGTATCGTATTGAACACCATTGGCTCGCGAAGTTGATTCCATGTATACATAGGGCCGATTTTAACTTGGGTAAATCGAGGCCGATTTTACCTTTGGTCGATTTAACCATAAATATATTGGCTTGGTATAGTAAGTATACGATCACATTTCACTAAAAATATGACAATGATGCTGTGTAGCCAGAACCCAGTTGCTATCATCTGTTTACTCACACGTATCCATTTGTATGTAAAAATATGAAATAGTTTCCACTACCCTAGCAGTAAGTATAGTATCCTCTTCTACCGCTAACCCTACAGAGCGAAGAAACAGTGTATAAGACAGAGAACATTTCTAGAAATATGTGTTATGCCCTACACCTGCGCCGATGTATTCTGCTGGACATTGCCACTGCAGGCGGCGCGTCTAATTACCCAATACTACCCAATACCACCCAATACTACCCAATACCACCCAATACTACCCAATACTACCCCATACGACCCAGTTATGAACCAAATACTTCTTTATTACTGTGAAATATCACCTTTGTAGACGTTATTTACTTCCATCTGCCATATTTTATCGGGAAATATGCGATTTGGTGCCGAAAACATCACCGAATTGCCGTGACTATGACCCAATACTACCC